TGAAATAGAACACGTAATCATTTTTTGGCATCATGTACGATCTATTCCCCGAAGACACACCTCCCTCACATTTACTCCTTTTGTCTTTGTTCATTTGATTGATCAGATAAGCTCTCATTACAACTTATGGACGGTTGTTGTGGCTAGCCGTCCAGAAGCTTCCTCTAAATGTCACAACAGCTTGTGTGTGTGTGTGTGTGTGTGTGTGTGTGTGTGTGTGTGTGTGTGTGTGTGTGTGTGTGTGTGTGTGTGTGTGTGTGTGTGTGTGTGTGTTGTGTGTGTGTGTGTGTGGTGTGTGTGTGTGTGTGTGTGTGTGTGTGTGTGTGTGTGTGTGTGTGTGTGTGTGTGTGTGTGTGTGTGTGTGTGTGTGTGTGTGTGTGTGTGTGTGTGTGTGTGTGTGTGACACTGTGTGTGTGTGACACTGTGTGTGTGTGACACTGTGTGTGTGTGACACTGTGTGTCACTGAGTGTGACTGTGTGTGTGTCACTGTGTGTGTGTGTGTGTCACTGTGTGTCACTGTGTGTGTGTGTGTCACTGTGTGTGTGTGTGTGTCACTGTGTGTGTCACTGTGTGTCACTGTGTGTCACTGTGTGTGTGTCACTGAGTGTGACTGTGTGTGTGTCACTGTGTGTGTGTCACTGTGTGTGTGTCACCGAGTGTGTGTGTCCCAGCTCGGTCTCTTATCAGTCAGCTCACTGTTGTTGTGTCCTCGCCTCACAATGGATCTTTGGTCGGTGCTACAGTACAGCAGAGAGTGGAGCTGCAGACAGGAAGGCCAGATTTAAAGAGAAAGTCTATACTTAACACTCTGATTCACTGATAGGGATATTTTTCCAGTAACTGATGCTGTAACTCAAAATGATCAAAGAAGAAAATAAAGTGTTTCAGTCAGGGAGGTAAAGCCTCAACAGAGTGTAGAACTTTATTGGACTCAAAATCCATTTAATGAAAAGCCTTTTAGTTCAGCGAGGTAGATAAAAACACATGCATTGTTTATAACACACTATATTGTATTCGTCATGAGTTAATATATCTTATGATGTAACTAATGTATACATAATTGATAACACAGTATAATAAACCTGTGAGGATATTTTTTTACAAGTAATTACACACAAACACACCTAACATGTGTAATAAAGTATTTATTGACATCAAAACACATGTATAAATCATTCATATGCAGTTTTAAGACTTCATTAATGTGTTCAAATCTTATGGAGTTTAATTTTTGACCCTATATATTAAAGATCCACTTATTAAATGTATCCTGGAGCTCAATCCTACATCTCTTGGCCCTCAGCAGCAGGAAGTGTAATGCTATATTAACAGATAAATAATGTATAAATGAATAATGATGAAATAAAAACATCCTATTTTATATTCACATAAGGTATGAAGATGTATTTTATGTGATAACAGCCATTTTATATATACTTGTAAAGGTAATGAAAGGGATATCTTCATGGCAGTATCCCCAACCACTCTTATTTAATCTAAGGGGTATTCTGGAATATATTCCTGTTTTTTTTAATATATATAATTGAAACAAAAGTACCGGGCAACAATTCAATTTCTAAATCCAAATAGCTAAATTCCACTTCAATCCTCTATTAGTGTGCCAGTGAGAGAATGACATGTATATGCAGTGCGTTCCAGAGTTGTGGACGTTTAGGAGAAGAAAAATATTTAGAGGTCTCTCTTTGGGGAATTGGTCATGAATGCCTCACTTCCCCTCTCTCAGCCACCCATGCTGTGGAGCTCTGCAGGTCCCTGAACCCCCCCCCCCTGGTTTAAAAAGAGGGGAGGGGGTGGGGGGCGTTGTTCTTCGGCTCCAGCCAGGAAAAGGGTCTCGGGGGTTTGTTATTTTTGCTGTCCGATAGCATCTACATGGGTAGCTCAGAGCCGGGTGTTTATTATGCTACCCAGCCTGGTTGTGTGGAGCTATGGAGACGAGGGGGGGGGGGGGGGGTGAGTGGTCCATGCCCCGTCACCATAGAGACTCAGTGTCGACAGCATCAGTCACCCGTCCCCCAGGAAGTGTCAGGAGTCACACCTTTGGGTGTCCGCGGGGGGCCGATGGGAACCGACGCCCAGCTGCTCATCACTTCCTGCTCAGCTGGCCAGATGTTGTTAATTTTCTTATTTGTAATGTTATTAAAATGTTCTTTTTTGTTTTGTTACTAACGTTTTTATTTATGAACATACATGGTACATAGCTCACATGGTACAGCATACAGAAAGAGGAAGGTCAAGCTACAAAACATGTTAGTTAAAGTGGACTTATCATGCTATATTTGAATAATATAGTGTAGGACCATACCTATATAAGGCATATTTATACTTTTTTTTTTCAAAATACCAAACAGATCATGCATTTTAGCCATGCCTCATTTTTCTCAATTTGACATTTTTTTGCTCTGTTTGTAAGGGCAGATAAGGGCAGAACAGCACCATCTACAGGCCTGGCATATGTACTACAGCGTCTCCAGCGCTTTCAAACGGCAATGTCCGTGGCTGTCTCCTCCTGATTGGTGGAGTTGGCCCAATAGCCGTAGCGCCACTGTCCTGACGTCAGGACAGTGTTCAAATCTGGATCAGTTTTTATCAGATCCATTGCAGCCCCTTTTTCAGAGATTTGGGTATGGAGGAAAATAGAGAGGGTTGTGTTTTCTGACACTTGGTGAGTTCCCTGGAACACCGGGGACACATATTCATGTATAAAAGACGTACAAAAGTGCATTTTGCATGATAGGTCCCCTTTAAGTGTTCCTGGTTAAGGGGAAACAGGAAAATACAAAGGTGTGAGATTACCAATCAGACACAACAGCGATCATAAAATAAAATAATATCAACAAATGATGCTTGATTAGAATAATTGTACAAAGGCCCTTTTGTGTGAGTCCTACAGTCAGGCTACTAGTTAGCACTCAGGTATTCCACAAAGTAATCCCAACTTCCTAGAACCACAGGTCCTCTACTATTATAGTGCAAATGTGGCACTTTTACCCACACTAGGAACAGGAATGTCAGTCCACCACTTTGGTTCAGACTGAAATATGTCAATAAGTACTGGATTGATTTCCTACAGACATTGATAGATCCCTATGACTTTGGTGGTCTGCTTTCTTTTTCTATAGCCTTACCAGCGCGTTTAGGTTTTGAGTTCAATATCTTGATGACTGTTAGATATATTGCAGTGAAATGTGCTATAGATATTCAAGGTCTCCAGAGGATGCATTGTAATGGATTTAGTGATCCTCTGACTTTTCATCTAGCACCACCATCAGGTCCAACACTTTGGTTGATGACCAAGAACCTGGGAAACTACTGAGATTTCCATCAGTCTTTTTGCTGACTAGCCAATGTTAGCATGCCAACGGTATAACCTCAGCTCGTGACCATCGTTTTTTTTGTCATTCTAATCATGACTGTGGACTCATAATCTGCTTTAAAAAAAAACTGAACAACTTCTTGATGGCAGTTAATCTTTTTGTTTCAGCAAAAGTTTATTGTCCTAGTTTTATTGTCAGGTTGGAATACATTCTCACCATACAAGACAGTCCATTGAGAGAGTCAATTCTTTATTGTTTGGTTGTTCTTGAAGGGAGAGTGTGGGAGTTTTAAGGTCTCCAGAGGATACATTTTTTATGAATTAAGTGACTTTTCATCTAACACCATCATCAGGTCAAGTGTGTCCAATGGTTTGCGTTATGACCATTCAGCCTCAGCACAGTTATGTGCTATTTAACTAAAGGGGACCTATCATGCAAAATGCACTTTTTGATGTCTTGTATACATAAATATGTGTCCCCGGTGTGTCAGAGAACTCACGCAGCGTCAGCAAATAAAACCCTCTCTCTTTTCCTCCGTACCCAAATCTCTAAAAACGGGGCTACAACGGAGCTGATCCAGATTTGCGTCCGATATGACGTAATATAGGAAATGTAGGCTGGCTTTACACCCACGGCCCTATCAGAAACGTTGCTATCAGAAACAATGCCCGACTGTTTTGGGCGTAATATGGTCGGTGCATGTTTACATTAGCATCGCTAACACTCAGAGCTAACCTGTACTGGAGAGCATGTGTGTGAAGAAGCAGGAAATAAAAAGGAACTCACCTTGTGGTATAACCGGCAAGAGAGAAAGCCTTTGAGCTCCATACTGTTTCAGAAAGAATCCTTGATAATCCATGATATGGCGTTTCATCACGGCAGTATTAAGTTTAGACAGTAGCTGCCGGGTCCCGCATGAGCTCAGCGCCCCTCCTTTTTTTTGTAATACATTTTTTTTTTTTTAAAGCATTATACCCAAAATCAGCACTTTTGAAACAGGAAGTGAAATGGAGGGATATGAGGCATGGCTAGAATGGGTGATCTGTTTGGTGTTTTGAGCAAAACACTTCATAGACATGTTTTTTATATATTTGTATATATCTGAGACCCATGCTATTGCCTACAAATAGCATGATAGGTGCACTTTAACCAATGTTAGCATTTTCACAGTATAAAGCTAGGGACATTTTTTTTTTTTTTGCTAAACATGACCAAAGACTCTTTGTCCTGCTGTCGTGAAAAGGAGAACAGATCAATGAATTGATGATCAGACTTGATGGCAGTTCATCTTTTTGTTTCAGCAAAAGTTGGAAGAATTGTCATTATATAAGACAGTCCACCGAGAGTCAATTCTTTATTGTTTGGTTGTTCCTGAATGGAGAGTTTGGGAGATTCATTGCAGAGTTTAACAAGATTGTGGCTTTTGATGACTTCCATAATTCTTGGACAAAGTTTTCTGTTGGCAATGAGGGGACCCCCAGCAGACTGTCTTCTGAACACTGTGCCGATAGCCTCTCTCCTCTTCAACACCGCTATTTCCATCATTTGTAACCTAATAATAAATAATGAATTTAATTTATATAGCGCTTCTCATCTGCCAAGACAAATCTCGAAGCGCTCAAACCTAATCTTCTCCTTGTGTTGTTTCCTTTCTTTGACCTCAGGCAGAGCCCCTGAAACCAAAGCTCTGGGTCTGGACAAGCTGGGCGTCCAACTCAAAAAGGAGTCGGGGAAAATCATCGTGGGTGCTGATGAATCCACCTCGGTGCCAAACATCTTCGCTTTCGGTGACATCGGGGAGGTATGTGATGTCAACAGTCTCCACACTGACAGCAGGAACAGCCCTGGAAAACACTCCACATAATTATTAGTTATTATTAGTTTAAACGTTATGTCCACATCCCTCACACTCTCTGTAAATGCTTGTCATTGTTGAGCACCTGGTCTACCTATGTGAGGAATTTTGGATTGAAGCTTTAACACCCATCAGCTCAGTAGACATTGTGTATGATGTCTGAGAATGCTGAAATGTGTATGTTATGAAGTCAAACGAATAAACTGTAGGTGGTAGATTTTGTTGAACCTTGAGTCAAGGATGTAATAGGTGGTACACACACTTTCTTCTACAATTTATACTCAAAACAGAATACATAACCACCAATATGACCAAGTTTAGCCTATTTAACAATTCCTGAAAGAAGTTTTCCATTTTCTTCAAATCTGTTTGCTATCACTAAAACACCTGGTTTTTGAAATGAGTTACGGTCATAAAGATGTGTAGTATGTCAGATGTAAAGAGGATACACTTTAGATTGAAAGAAAACCATGAATGTTTGAGAGTTCTTGTAGAATCCTTACGAAGTCTTAAACGGTATTGAATTAGTAAATCTGAAAATAAAGTCTTAGTTGGTTTAAAATTGTCTGGAATCGATGTTTCAAAAGTCATTAAAAGGCTCAGACATTAGGATTTTATGAATCTCAAAATAATTCAATCCATCTATTTGTTATTTATTTGGATTTATGTTATGCCTTTCGAATGCAGTATAGCAAAAACATATACGTAACAATTGGTGCTACATTTAATTTCAAATGCCATTTCAAAAGTCTAATTTCCATTAAGGAAAACTTAACTGGAACCCTGTTGATCAAGGTGATAACATAGAGACGTTAGCATCTTTTTTCACATGACACACTTTTAATGTTGCGCTCACATAAGACACATTAACCACCAGCTAGTACTTGTTAGTAGACAGTATTCAGTGAAGCTTTTTTAGGCTGCTGTTATGTGTTTCTTGGCAGTACCACTGTGAGCTCAGAGCCGAACCAGCCATGTTAATACTAGTTATACCTGCTGCATGAAATGTTGTTTTTTCACCACGACCAGCTGTGAGCTTCCTTCCTGCCTCCCAGGCCTCATGACACACACACTTTTTGATTGACAGCTCCCTTTGATCAGTTGTGCTTCACCCCAATATGTCTGTCAACTTTTTCACAGCAGTGGGGAAGCTTCTTTTTTCTTTTTTTATTCCTTTTTGTTTTTTAAAGCAGCGGGGTTGATATCTCACTTTGTCCGCGCTGGTTTGTTATTTTTCTCCTCTCAAAGAAGAGTGCCAAGAAATGCATTACGATGACGAATGACAGTTACTGGAATACCAGATCTCACACTCAGGCAGAGGAGCGCAGGATGTTTTGGACAACAGGATGTGGGGTGGCAATTTAACAGCTTTAAGTCATGCCTTTAGAATTGCCCTGCAGCCCTACTGTTTCCTACACCATTCAATTGTGTGGGTGTGTGTGTGTGTGTGTGTGTGAGTGTGTGTGTATCTCTATGTGTTTGTCTGTTTTGGCTTACATCCAGAACAATAAGGCCAGATATATTTTTAAGTACTAGATGGTTTAAATGTTAAGCACTTATGTCAGTTGTTGACACTCGTTGGTGTGTTAGCATTTCGGCAATGAGTTCTACTGTATGTTGTCTGAAATGTTTGAGATAAAACCGGATGACCAAATGGTTTTCGGTTAGTTAAAGAAAGGTAAACACATTTGTCAGAACTAAACCCAGATCTCATGGGTTGTGGTCCAAATAAATTAAAGTATATTGATTTGTGTCTTTTCTTAGGGTCGTCCTGAATTGACCCCGACGGCCGTTAAAGCGGGAAAGCTTCTCGCCCGCAGACTGGCCGGTCACGGCACGGAACTCATGAACTACGACAATGTAGGAAGCACACACACACACACACACTCTCACTCACTCACTCACACACACACACACACACACACACACACACACACACACACACACACACACACACACACACACACACACACACACACACACACACACACACACACACACACACACACACACACACACACACACACACACACACACACACACACACACACACACACACACACACTGATGATTTCCTCCCATCTTTCTGAAGCTGTTATCTTTGTGGCTTTTTGAGCCTATTAATTAATTGAATGCCAATTACTGGCTATTTGTGGTTTAAATAGTCTCTGATGTATCCACACATCCAGCCTCTCTTCAGGATGAGTCATCTCATAAACATATCAACATTTTCCAAAATGTCCTTCCTCCGTTACATTGAACTCTTTAAAGACTGACCCTCAAATGATATTGATATCGTTTTGATGTCAAGATAATAGGTTTGAACTATATAGTTTCCAGAAGAAATGTTTTAGCCGCTTCTGTAATATTGGAACGCAACGAAAAAGTATTCATAACTTCCTGAGTTAAAAGTGAGTGGAATAAACATTTGACTACCTTAATAATAAATGTTCTGTCTAACAACTAATCATGAGTTGCCGAATTGTTTCAGCTGTATCTTGATGTTATCTGTGATGTGTGTGTTCGTGTGTGTGTGTCAGGTGGCCACCACAGTGTTCACCCCCCTGGAGTACGGCTGTGTGGGTCTCTCTGAGGAAGAGGCTGAGGAGAGGCATGGGAAAGACGGCATCGAGGTGAGATAGATGTGTTGGTAAAGTACAGCTGTGAAAAGTATATTTCCCACTGTGAGTGCTTCCAGGATGAATTAGTAGCATTTTGAGTGAAATCCTTTAATATGTCCACACTTCAAGTTAAAACGCAATAGAGAAATGTGATTTATTCTGGTAGTTTCTTCTGACTTATTTACATTTTAACATGAATTAACTCCAACTGTAAGTACTATATAGAAGATATAGTAATAAAAGCAATTACATTTTAATTACACACCAGAAAAGCCCATATTGCATGTAGCATCTTTTAATAATTGCCCACAATTTGGTGAAATTCTTTTAAACATTAAAGATCCCATGTCATGGCCATTTCCACTGATCATAATTCCATTGTTGAGGTCTACTAAAATAGATTTATATTGTGCAATTTTCCAAACTCACATTGGTTTCTCATACAGCATCTCTGTATAGTGTGTGTATTCACTCTCTGTCCTAAACGGCTTGTTGGAGCTCCTGCCCCCCCCCCCCTCCCTATGAGCCCACTGTGCTCTGATTGGTCAGCTCGCCCACTCTGTTCTGATGAGTCCACCACCGTTACAGCGGAACATCAGTGTTTATGTGTTACAACGGCGTTTGTTAGCAACCAGAAAATGACACCAGTAATGACAGATGAGAATGCTGCGTGGGGTCTGGGTGCCGTGTTGGCGGGACGTTGCACGGCTCGCTGCGGTGAGGAGCGGACAGTGTGAGCTGGGTTCATTTCCTGCTTGCTGCGTGGGGTCTGCGAGACAGCGAGACATCGCGAAGGGACGCGGGAAGGGGGGGATGCTGAGGGGGCTGCAGCACCCCCATCTGCGAGGCTCCACTAGCCTGACTTTTTTTATTGGTTAATTATATAAAGTCAACATCAGTGATTGGTGGAACATTTTAATTGTATTTTAAAAAATGTGTGTTAAAGGGTACTATGTATCTACTTTAAGGCCCTCAATTTACTTATTGTGACGTTGAATCTACTAATCTGTAGAATGAAATATGTCTCTATTAAGAAAGGGCCCGCTGCCTCTAATATAACAACACAGCATTGATCCATAAGTGTGACTTTTACTTTATTAAATCATGTGTTTAGACCTTTTACTATTCGGCTGCATGCCACACATACACAAATATATTTACAAAGCCAGTGTTAGTGGCCACAACCTGCATCAAAAACACAATGTCCCATCACCACTAAACAAACATTGACACAAACAAAGGCCACAGCGAGCAGCTCCGTACTTTAGGAGCGTTTGTGTACGTGAGCGCTGTGCCAGATGCTCGCCAACACCTGCAGGAGGCCGAGGATAAACGGTTAGGGCTGTGAGTGGCAGGCGAGCAGGAGGCCTGATGGAGGTGTGTGTGTGTGAGGTGTGTGTGTGTGGAGGTGTGTGTGTGGGGCGATGACAGGAGCTAAGATCTGAGGAGGAGCCGCATGCACCGGCCCCCGACAGCTGCACGGCCCTCACAACTTGTGTCGGCATGTCCACGCGGAGAATTAAACACACACACACCTCACACAGAATAAAACACACACCTCATACACTCGTCTTCAGCGAGGGGTTAGGAATCAATCACCGTCACGAGCAAGCATTGATGCTCTCATTCAGATACAGTGGTTTGGATAAGTGTTCATAAGACAGCGCTAAATCAAATGCACGCTAAAGGGTCTTTGAAAATGTTTTCTCTCACTGATTGTGCTGTTATGTTAAATGTTTGTTGTTTGTTTTTCATGTATTGTGTGTTGTGTTGATGTTACACATGGAGCTGCTGTGATGCAAGTCACATTTCAGACTTGATCTGACCATTAAAGTATTATCGTATAAGTGTTCATAAGGCCTTTCAACTGCAGTGTGAGAGTGAGAGTTGTTCAGAGATACAATGAATTGAAGATGATTCACTCATATTAAGAACACATACGTCTGTTTACAGTGTAGATATTTATTTGAATATGTTATAACAATAAGCAGTATTTTATTCCACTGTACAGCATTACATTTCATATTCTGTTTTGATCTTTTCCTCTATTTCACATTTATGTAGTTGACTTATTTCTGCATTTTACTTGCACTTATTTCATTCTTTGGCAATATCTTATTAATTTCTCTTGCACAGTTTACATATTTTTGTCCTTAGAAAATGGTATGTTACATTGTTTGGAGGAGCCTAGGACTTTTTCAAAATGGCCAAAACTACTGCCTAATCTTAGATGTATTTAATAGTTTTGTCTTGATCTATATAAGACACAATAAGCTATTAAGTGGCTCCTAAAAAAGTGAATACATCACCTTGCTAAATATACACAAGAAGAGATCATCATGACTGCTGCAAACTATAATTGTGTACCTTTGTACATTCTCATAATGTGCAAAATTGGTTGGAGATGTAAAGACCACAATTACACAATCTATTCTATTTCTACTGTTAATATGATGTATGTTCTGTTTTTCTGTCTGCAGGTCTACCATGCTTTCTACAAGCCTCTGGAGTTCTCTGTTGCAGAGCGCGATGCCAGCCAGTGTTACTTAAAGGTTAAACTGCACACCAAACTGTACAGGGATGGGGATTGTTCGCATTTTATACACTATATAAATATACTCCTGAAGTCAGGTTTGAACAACTCTTTGAAGGGCTCAATTAGTCAAATAGTTTGAAAGGTTGAACGTGATCCTGACCATTTTTTATTCGTCCATCTGTGTCCAACCTTGAGGATTTCTTTCTTCATTTGAGGCTAAAAACATTTCTGCTTATCTCTTACGTCATTTTTACACTTTGTCACACTGCACCTCTGGTAGTATCTACTGTTTTTTAAATGTTGATTTTTAACTATGTTTTCTGTTTAATGGATTGTCTAGTTGTCATTTGTTTGTGTGTTAATGCTCATGTAAAGTTCTTTGAATTGTCTTTGTGTCTGAAATGTGCCTTATAAAAAAAAAACTCTGGGATTTACTGGCGCTTTCACACCGGAGTACTTTTCCCAGTATAGTTCCGATAGTTCTTGAAATGTTGCGTTCACACCAAAAAAATCCGGAACTAGAACTTAGTTCATGAGAACCTTTTCACCCCCTTTGTAGTCCCTGCTAGAGAGCAGGTACTTTCATGGGAGAAAAAGGTTCCCATTTCTGATTGGCTGGGCGGACCACGCCCCGTAAAACTCGGCCGCCATTGTATTTGCTGGCATTAGCATTATTAGCATTAGCCCAGCGCACCAACGGAGAGAGACTAACTTATGGCAACACAAAAAAAAACATGGGAGCGGTGGAGTGATGAGAAGGTGTCGGCGTTCTGGCGATTTACCCCAACTCCGGGGACTTCGGGCGGCAGTATACACCGTGAAGTTGTTTGCGGCCTGCCAGTAAACTCAAACCAGAAGAAAAGAAGTGACGTCTGCAGCTTCGAACGCAATCTGCTCTTTAGTTCATCAGAGCTAAAGAGTTCTCATGAACTAAGTACTGGGAACTAAGTACGGCAAAGTACTTGGTGTGAAAGCGCCTACTGTCCCTGCTCGTTGGTTATTTTGCAGATGAAACTTCAGCTCCTTGTTTTAACTCAGTGTTTTTCCTCCTCAGGTGGTGTGTGAGCGGGGGGGGAGACCAGAAGATCCTGGGTCTGCACTTCACCGGTCCGAACGCAGGAGAGGTCACACAGGGCTTCGCTTTGGGCCTCCAGTAAGTTTAACTCATCCTAGATTTGACATGTGTCGAGTTAATTTGTTAGAGTCAGCAAGATGTCACAATGTAATATTTATATACTGTAGGTTTTGGATGATTTCTTCTCCGTCAACAGTCGTGCATTCTCGAAGAGACACATTTCAGTTTCTTTACTACAACAAATCAGACTTTAAAATGTAAGACACCAATTCAAAATACAGTTCTAAGTTAGTTTTAGTTTAGTATTAGATGTGAAACTCCGTATAATGGGATGTCTAGAGTAAAGTGCATCACTGAGAGAGCAGATAAAGTAGCCATTTTCTATGCATTTTTCTCATAATATCAAATACTTTAAAAGTTGTAATGCATAGTCTGTGATCAGAATTTGCCTGAATATTTATCACTCCCAGTAAACTTTACAAAAGACCCAAAAGTACTCTGTGTGTCTTCAGGACCAGTTTTAGCCAACACACTCTTTTCTGGCATTCTTATCTGTGAACTACTAGAATAAATTAATATATAAAATATGTGCAGTAAAGAAAACAGATATTGTCAACATTGTGCATTTATGTAATGCATAGAGTAGATTGTTGTATACACTATAAAACTGCATGTCAAAAACTACAGTTGTCAGTCATGAGAGAGTGATAAACAGCAGTGTGTGTGGTGTGTGTGTGGTGTGGTGTGTGTGTGTGGTGTGTGTGTGTGTGTGTGTGTGTGTGTGTGTGTGTGTGTGTGTGTGTGTGTGTGTGTGTGTGTGTGTGTGTGTGGTGTGTGTGTGTGTGTGTGTGTGTGTGTGTGTGTGTGTGTGTGTGTGGTGTGTGTGTGGGTGTGTGTGTGTGTGTGTGTGTGTGTGTGTGTGTGTTGTGTTGTGGTTGTGTGTGTGTGGTCAGGTGTTGGAGGCGTACATATTGCCACGGCTGCAGGACGGTCGGCATCCACCCCGACCTGCGCCGAGGAGCTGACCAAGGTCAACATCACCAAGCGCTCCGGTCTGGACGCCACGGTTATCGGGCCTGCTGAGGTTAAGCTCCTCGGCTTCTGAACAGTAAGAGCTCACAGGGTCCTCTGTTAGCCTCCTCTCTCCTCCTCTTCCTCTTCCTCTTCCTCTTCCTCCTTTTGAAATGGTTCACATTCCCCTCTCTGAAACAGCGTCTCCTCGTAGGCCAGATCATAACACAGGTTAGTGTCACCAACACATCATGTGAACACCATGATTATCCCATGGTACAAGTGTTACTGAGGGTTACAGATCAGGTTAGTGAGAGCCGTGTCTTTAAAATAAACAGTCTCATCAATCAGGATTAAAGCTGAACTCGTACGAGAACCGAACTCTTAACGTTTTCTTCTGAATATATATTCTGCAAATATTGTTGTTTCTCCGGCTGTACTTCCTGTCCATTAGTCTTGGAGGTGACACATACCATACACCCCCGCAACCCCACCCCCCGTGACACTGATGGATGGCCCCAGGGCCGCAGCGACCCCGCCCCATTTCCCATGGACACACACAAACAGTCGCTGGGCCGCCTGTCACTCAGACGCCCCAGACCTGGTCAGGGAGCCACGGCTTGAGACTCCTCCCTTTTCCTCTAGTGCCCTTAACCATCCCTATACACAAAATAATAGAGTGGGACTCCACACATGAGCTGTCAAAAGCTGCGTGAACTCTACCTGTTGATAACAGAGCTCTGTACTACCCAGACTCACCCAAAGGTGGCACTGTTGCCCTCCAATTCCCCCCTTGTTTTCTCAACCAGGAATAGAAGACAGTAGAAAGTAGAAACTGGATAAACCTTACGCCTGAATACATTCAGGTTGCACATTTAATCCCTTTAATCCCTTGGAGAAAAAAAAAAGATATGTTGAAGAAAAGCACTGTGGCTTTATTGGTGCCAAACTGATAAGGGCTATCTGTTGTGTATTTACATGGATGGCAGGTTGGGCCTAAAGAGTCATCACCCTTGTAGATAAGGTGAGTTGTTTATATCAATAAAGCAGTAATAGGCCCCCACAGTTTGCACAAATGTTGAACCTGATGGATATGCATGACATCTTGGGTTTATTAAGTAGAATGAGGAGGAGGAGGGGGAGGGCTGTCAATAACGTGGGTTGCTGCAGAAATCGAGGAGGCCGCCGAGGGGCGTCGTTTATTTTTATTTGAAGTCTAATCTGCCCGGTCTGATTAATGATTTCGATGAGGGGAGTGACAGTGTGCCAGGAGATGGAGAGAGGAGGAACAGGAGAGAGGGAGAGGTACCATGGTTTATTTGGGCCAGAGGAGAGAGAGCTGAGGAGGGAGGAGAGGTTTTGGGGGGGGATTCCTGTGTGCTCTGTTCAGGGCCGAGGTGCTGACTGAAGGACCCTGACCTCCGCTCAGCAGGAACAGCTTGACTCTATCACTCGGAGTGGAGGTGGAGGTGGAGGGGGGGGGGGGGATGGTGGCTATGGGAAGGACGGAGCCAACCAACACAAGACGGAGCGGTAGCAGCGTGTTTGCCCAGGGTAATTGAGTCTGTGTTCCCGTGCTTAACGAGCCACTTCAGAGACCCTGGGGTGGGCACAGGCAACACGAGGGAAGTGATCGAGGCCATCGGAGTAACTGTAATGTCTGTTTGCTTTTTACCCTCCACTTCCCCTCTGTGTTTTCTCACAGCTCGACGCACAGTATAGGGGAAAAACTGAAACCGTTGACTTGAATTAAATGTATTATGTCAACAGACTTCACATTACTGTAGTAGGTTAGTTGGAAGCAATGATATTACGTTTTAAATTAATAATATTAGTCAACTTAATATTATTGCTTTCAACTAACCTAATACATTTGGAAGACATAATTCATTTAATTAAAGTCAACATTTCAGTTTTTCCCTGCTCACACGCACAAAATGAACCAGTTTTATTTATGATATTGTCTTCTTTGAATGATATTTGTCATTGTAGTCACTCCAGGTCCGAGATATGAGCAGTTAGCCTCCGCTGTGCACCATGGGGCGGGGGGTCAGGGTTCAACTTTCAGGGCGGCCAGCTAATGATGGCCTGCACTAAAACCCAAACCTGGGGAGTGCAGGCCTGATGTCACATGACCGCCAACTTAACTAGGTGTACATAGAGATGTGTAATTTTCCATTAAAGCTTTTGGTATGCATGTATATGTAAAATAATGTGACTTTGGAATGCAGAGTGTCTATTAAAGTAATGATGTCCACTGATTGAGTGTTTTATTTTAATGGCGTGCATCCGTATTGTGTTTATGCGCATGAATGTGTACATTTACACATAGACATACAGCACATGTGTGTGTAAAATAATTTGTCAATGTGCTGTTTTCAGTTCCTAAACTATGCTAAGATTAAAAATTTACTTAAAGGAATAGTTTTTTCGAAGATTAACATAAATAAAATGTAATTTAGCTCACACTTTTATCAATGTTAGCTCTGGCAAATCAGTTTGAACTAGGCCCTTTGAGTGCTACAATATTACTCTCACGTTTTTACGGTCAATATGAAATTAAAGCTAGCAACAGTTAGCCTGTTGGGTTAGACTTCACACGTTTGACGGTTGTTAGTTTGAGATCTACCATACTGACATGGGAGTGGTATCAATATTTTATAAGAAGTATTTCTCAAAAAAGAAATTACATATCACTTCAGGTCAACTTTATACTTGATTGTTTACAATACAATTCTTAATTTCATTTAATTGATATTCAAAGATATTTGCATTTGAAACAAGATATTGTATTATTGAATACCAAGATTTTTGGACTCAAAAAGAGTATAAAAGGTTTTCAAAAGATGATTACATTTCTTTTCTTTTTTATTATGAGGGCATCCAAGAACCAAACAGTGCCAATGTAAATGTGCATCTGTACAGGTTTATGTTACAATATGCTCAGTCTCATATTAGGCAGTGTCACAAGGGGTGGTCACACTTTGACCCGGACTCGTCTCTGCTGACAGGCGGCTCTGCTATGCAGCCTGTCAATCAACCCTCTGCACCAACAATGGCAGAAATTCCACTGTGTTTGTTTGGTTAAGGACAGAGCTCTCTGAAACCCCTGAACCTCCTCAGGATCCACAGCAGCCTCACTCACCCTGAGAGAGAAGCCGGTGTCACTCCATCCCAGACAGTGGGAGTAAAGTTCACCCGCCATCTCCAGAATACCCAGTCCCATTAAGCAATTGTGTCTCTTCTGTCCCTCCACAATGGAGCAAACAGGCTAAATCCACCTTGAAATGCACTTAGTAAAACATGTCAACATGTCAGGGTGCGCTCGGTTCTACGTTCGGATTTAATCCAGCCCATTGAATGCTGACAGTTGTCTGTGAGTCAGACATTCACGAGGTCTTTGTCACTTCAGGTCTTGAGCTCCTAGCAGCCCCGCTGGAAGAGCAGAAGCCTCACGTTAAAACACACACGGCCGCGCTGCCGGAGCGAAAGCCTCAGGAGGAGGAACCAATACATACCTTGTGTAAACATCAGCGCAAAAATAACGCAAGGAACAGAAAAGGCTCAACCTATGCGAGGATTATCCCTGAGAAATGAATAGGGGCCAATTATGACTGCTCTGTTGTACTGCCAGTATCTGGCTCAAGAGCTGTCAGCCTGAGATGCCTTCAGGGCCGGGACGGGGTGTGGTGGACGGGGAGGGGGTCCTCAGGAGGCTTCAAGTAGAAAAAAAGAGGCCCTCCAGACTGGTAAACTCAAGGTGAGTCTCCCAACCAGATTTGGCGCTTTCTCCCTCATCTGGCCTCCCAAGTTCAAGACAATTAGCTCAAAGAACTCGCTCTAAGCCTAATGGTAGGCTCACAAAAACAACCGCTGGAACAAGGGTGTTGAGATGCTTTTACTTTCCAATGACGTACAAATGAACTCAGCTTACAGACACCACTTTCCTCTGCTCCGAAGACACTTTTGACCTCGACGCTGGATTGTCTGGAGTCTGAATACTCCCCATCAGGAATGTCAAGGTCGTCTTTTTTAGTTTCACAGGCTGTTTGATTTTGCTACAGCGGTATCTCTGAGAAAGATTTTGGTCATCGAGTTAGCTTCCTTCTTGACCTCACATTCAACCACAAACATTGAGAAAAGGTGTCTTGTGTTGGTAGCCCAGTTGAGGTGAGGGCCTGTGAAATGAGCTTATCTGACCCCTGATAAGAACAGGATACCCTCAGGAATGGTCTAAATTCAATACACATGGCTGCTGCAGCGGCCTTTATCTGAGGGGAAGTGGGTGTGTGAAAAGGAGCTTGATGTAGCACTGCGGTTGAGTGTGTCCGATCTCGACCGATCCACAAGACCGCAGCCTTGCATAGTACACCAGAGCCTGTGGCCAACGGTATAAAAGCATGTCCTACATCGTCTCTAGCTTGTGGTTCTGATCCCCAGACGTCACTAAGAGAGCAATTACGATCAGCAACCTCAACTCCTAAATCATTTAGTCAGGTCTTTTGCCACACAGGAAGCTGTTTTACTACGTCTGGAAGCTGCAAAGAGATTTATTGAGCTGATGTTTGATGATGGCATACAACAAAGAGGTTGTGATTGTGTGCCAAACCATGCAACATAGGACATTGTGTGCATGCAGAAGCTCAACACATCACACCCTGATGTTTGGATCCAAACAAGACATGTCTGGCGCTTATTATTTGGACATGCATGAATTATAATTATGTTATTGTGTCTAAAACATCCTCCTTACCATTGTCTCTTTGATCGGCATTCAAAACGATGACATGCTGATTTATTGCTCAATTAATTGCGGAGTAATATTAATTAAAACATCCTTAAGCTCAGATTAAATCAAGAAGGGTAAACAATGACTCACCTGGCCTCAGACGGGTAATAAAACGTTTTAAAGAAATGAGGAAGTCTAGTGTGGTTTTGTTGGTAGTGCCGTAACAGCCTCTTCATATTGGTTGTGACTGTAGCAATTTAAATGTTTGTTGGATTGATGCTTGGTTGGTCCATCTGGTTCAAATATTTCAACAATGATGCCTTTTTTTGCCATCAAACTGCTCATTGTCCCAAGCGGATAAATCACAGATAATTTGGCGACTCCCTGACTTTTCCTTGAGCTCATCAATAATGTTTTTTAGTAACATTTCTAGTATCTGATAGATTGCCATTAAAGTTAGTGTTGGGGAATAATTTGCTTATGTATTCAACCTTTGACACAGTTCATCATTTTCCTCTTTTCATTTTCCTTTCCCATGGCATAGGTCTACGGCCTTGGGTATTGCTGCTATCTCTCTTAAGGAGGGGCAGCTTGGGCGCATTGTTGTTGCCAGTTTATCACCAAGCACAAGCTGATATGATAGTTTATTGTTCAGGGAATATCTAAAAGCCCTTCTTTTATCTGGAACGTAGGTTCCCTGGTGCACATTCTTTTCTATGGACGAGAGCTCTCGTTAGATTCAGGGTCCATATTTGTTTAGTCTCGCTGATAAAGAATGTTGATTATTACACTCCGAACTAGTTCAAACCTGGAACTACAGAAGAGTTCTTCAGAATTGATTGTGGCATCTCAACCGTGTGGTCAAACCGTGGCCCGTGACATGTCTTGTGAAGTCAGTGTTTGCCATCAAAGCTCCAGCTCTCCTCGTGTCTCTTTGAGTCCTGACTCTCCATTGCTACAGAAGTTTCCCCCACAGTTAGTACACACTCATGTCTCCTTCCCAATTATTTCTTAAAGGTGGGGTAGGTAAGTTTGAGAAACCGGCTCGAGATACACTTTTTGTTATATTCCATGGAATGCTCTTAACATCCCGATAGTAATGAATATCTTAAGTGCTTTGACAAAAAATCCATAAAAAAATATCATCTGTGGAAGCCGTAGTACTGTAAAAAGCACGACCAATCATCTGAGCCGGCCCGGCTAAAATAACTGGATGGACTACCTGCCTGTCAGCCTTCCATCTGTGCACAAACTTATCTCGTGCCCTCATTGGTCATGTGCGCGTTCGTGTGTGTTGGAGAAGGGGCTCTATAAGGAAGTGGCAGATTTTCTCCGGTTGTATATTTTCAAATTCTAGCGATGTCGAGCCGGTTTCTCAAACGTACCTACCCCACCTTTAATAGCTTTATGTGTCAAATAAAGGAATACATATGATATACGACGGTTTCCTCGGGAGGAGCTTTGAAGAACATCCAAAACAGTGTTTGAGTCCGTCAGATTTATTGTCGAACTGGTTAAGCCTGGAGGGATAAGCCAGTTTATTTGATAATCTTCTTCTCTGAAACTAAAAATATGATGCTGTGTTTGATTACACACTCATTAATAATTTATAGCTTTACCATTCAAACTCTGCTATTGACGTAGATAATCAGCTTAACAAGCCCCTGCACAGAAAATAACAAGCTACTACTTAACATTTCCTAAAGGTTTTGCCAAACACCAGCACAGCAGCGGTATCAACACCATCTTGACAGTTTCCTCTGACTGTGTCTGCTCTGGGGCTCTGGTGTTATCAGTGTGAGTCACATCACATTAATCAAAGTCTCTTCCACTGCCACGATGGCTTCCCGCTCTGCAGCCAAAACATCTGGCTGGAGATGTGAGGATCTGCCTGGGCTGAGCATGCAACTGAAACACTTTGCAACTCCTGCAGACGAACCCTTCCAAAAACATGCATGTTTTTTAGAATTCACACACACAGGCAGAGACGGTATGTGATTCAGACAGACTGCATGCAGGACTCGCCCTCTGGCTGCTGTCGATGCCTCTCTGATTGATTCTGTCTTTCCTGTTCAGCCATTGAAACACACACACATTTTGCATGCAGTTTCTATCTGCTAGTTTCTCTCCTAAAGCTCACAGTTATACCCGGCCCGCTTGTGTTTATTTGTTGGTCACTGATCTGATGAGAGGTGTGTGTGTGTGTGTGTGTGTGTGTGTGTGTGTGTGTGTGTGTGTGTGTGTGTGTGTGTGTGTGTGTGTGTGTGTGTGTGTGTGTGTGTGTGTGTGTGTGTGTGTGTGTGTGTGTGTGTGTGTGTGTGTGTGTGTGTGTGTGTGTGTGTGTGTGTGTGTGTGTGTGTGTGTGTGGAGAGGGGGGGGGGCAGGTGGGAATGTGAATGCGTGGGTGTGTCGGCAACGTGAGCTCTCTTGTGTGTGTTCGAATGGCATGGTGTGGGTGCACTGCGAGCCTGCGTTCAGTACACATTAACGTTCCCTAAAAATAAAGCAGAGGAGCGCTATATCTCTGCTCTG